GATTCTTGCAACATTGTTGCTTTCCTCTGTTACCTGCTTTAATTTTTGTTTCCTTCTAAATGAAACATTTTGAATAATATGATTTCACCCACTTTATTGTGTTTACAATGTGTTCCTCATTAGCCTTCATGAGAAAGCTTCTACCCTTTCATACTGTTTTTCCAACTGATGTTACAATGCTGGTACACCACAGATGCATAATTAATATTGTTCAATACATAAATGAACAAATTTTCATTCAAAGAGGTTAGCATGTACACTGTTTGTCTGAGAGTAAAGCAAACATTTCTATAATAATATCTGAGAAATTAACTTTTGAAGTATGTCTTACTGCTGAATCAAATCAACTTAAAACATAATTCTAAGATATTGTTATTATCCTTTATATAGGAACTATGCTACATATCATCCAGAAGTGTGGGTGATTATGTTTTGGTGAGCTGTGATAATTCTTTAATAAATGCTAACTGGCTAAAATGTTCCCAGAGATAGATGAAAATTTTAAGCTTAAGTCTTTTGGTTTTGTTTTGTTGTTTTATAAACAATACCTAATGGCTTGGTTCTAAAAGGTAGGTCTCTGTTAGTATAGATGTTGGTGGAACTCAAATTATAATCCATTACATTCATTTATACAGACAATATAAACTATTTCATGAAGGAATAAAAAGTTTAAACAACCTGTTATCTAAGTATTTCAAATACTAAACAGAGCACTTAGATTCACACCAAAAATGAATAATTGTGGAGTCCCTGGACTGAGGAGCTATTGGGAGTAAGCTGCTATTTATATATAGTAAGCAAGATATTAGTATCTGAAATAAAATTATAGGGAAGTCCAGATCAGGAAATAAGATACAGAACAGTGTTCTGGAGACTCTGGCCAGGTGTGACTGCTGGTCTAAGTTGCTTTCCCGTGTTTGGTTCTGAATGTAGAATTGTCACGCACACCTAAAGAGGACACTAGTCTCTGCACATTTGTTACCTGTTCCCCAACCCGCCCAGTTGGATCCCCAGTCTCTTCAGATAGACTCTGGCTGACTCTTTGCCAAAAGTTTTCTGTCCCTGTGGAACTTATCTTAGGATCTGAGGACTTTTCTTGATGCGTTGTTATCTCTTTAGGTCCATTTAGCTTCTTTCTGTGCTGGGTGTTTGAAAGAATTTCTTGAAAATCTGTAAATTCTACATTAAATGCACATGTAGCAGAAAGAAAATTCTATGATGATAAAAGTCTGATGCTTAGATACTGTATGACACTGAATTTCTCATGCTTAGCAAAGTCCTGGGATATAACTGATGCTCACTGATCGCTTTCTAACAATAAACACCCTCTCAGTAAGAAGTAGGAACTATCAGACATATTGTTTTAAATGCAATTCACATTCCCAGTTTTATCGAGGCCTACGTGAAGAGATCTTTTCTATGCATCCCATTTAACTGACAACCAATCATTTGGTAGATGACCAAAATCAGATTAGGACTCGAATTCTGCAGATATATGCCACTTGATATCATGTGGTATAAGATAACTTACCTATGCATTTTAGATATGGTGTCTCAAGAGAATACATAGTGATCCAAAATATTGCATTTGCATTTAGCTATTTAGCAGGACCATTAAAAAGTATTTTAAAACAAAAGGATTTGGGTTGATTTTCTGTGACGGACAATGACCCCTGCCTCTCTATGACAGTTGTTGCTGCTCTCTCGAGGGAATCAGTTTTATGAAATCTACCTTCTGTTTCATAATTTTAAGAAGGTCATAGAAACAGGTGTGATTCACAATGTTCCTTCCAAAGCATAGTTATACCTCTTTTAATAAGACGCCTTATGAAGTGGAGCTGATTATTCAGGCACAGTAAAGGGTCCTCTCACTTTGCTTTTTTTTAGATTCTGGTTGTGTGTATAGAAATCAAATACTGTTGAAACGAATAAGCTGCAATAGATTCTGTGTCTCTATTTACACTAGACTCCATTTTTGTGAGGTACTTTAAATTGTTTTGCATATGCCCTTCCAGTCCAGACCATTTATACTGGGTATCTTCAAGACGTAGCCCTGGAATATTATTAAATTACTCCAGGTGCAAAGGTTCTGAGGAAGCTGTTTTTCTACGTATTTATCCTGAAATGTGTACATTCCAGGTACATGAGTCGTTGGAATATGACCTGTACCTTTCTGTGATTATTTTCTAACAGATGTTTATTACTGATATTATTTGATAACTATCAACATAGTGAATGATACTTCTCTTTTTAACTATCAATGTAGTGAGAGATATTTCTTTTTAAAATATTTACATTTCATGATATTATGATCACTGAGGATGAACATTGTAATTCCAAAGTGAGTTAGCCATTTGTGTGATATTATGAGAGATGACTAAACACAGATTCTAGCTGGATATGAGTGTATGTGCTTATAACCCCAACATTGGGGTGACTGAGACAGAATGGTTTAAGAGTATGAAAACAGTATCAGTGACATTCTGAGTACAAAGCCATCCTGTGCTATGTATTGAGGCATCATCTAAAAAAAATAAGGAAGGAAAAGAAAAAGAAATACACGTATTTCAAACTTTTTAAGTGCACACTGTATACTTTAGTAACAAGTAAAAAAAAATTGGGGAAGTGTAGGAATAAGATAAAATGTAGAAATTAGATATTCAATCATCAACAGATAGAAATGATATAAAGAGCCCTACATGAATTCTGGCTCACACAAAGTTTTCAGAGAGTACAAGGGAGTTGTGTGAACAGTAGTAGATGCCTCACCCAGTCATGTCTATGATCCAAACCAATGCAAAACAATGGTTGATCTCTTCGTGGAAGTAAAACTCCAGTAAGCAAGCTGAAAGCACATTCATTAGGGGACACGGTGCGGTGACACATACACAGTAAACACATTTGTTCACAGAATAAACCATTCATGGTGATTTGCAAAACTCATAAAACAAAGAATCAACTTTTTTATTTTGATGTTGCATTGAAGAGGTGAGGAAACATTCCATTGCTTTTTATTCTGTTTTTTTTTTTTTTTTGAAGATAAGAACTGCAGAAAAAAAATCATTAAATCCTTATAAACAGTCAAATTCCACAGGGTCAAGCTCCAGATTCCTAGCGATCCAAGCAGCATTCCTGTCGATATCACTATTGAGGCCAATGTGTGAAGTGTCAATTCCATTGACTCTGAACTTGTGTGATGAGTTCTGCATGAGCAATGAAATTCTACTTAAATTCTAGTGCATTTTACAGATTCTGTATGATGTATAAATGCCTAGCTTATATCTGTGGTGGCTGTGTTATCCTATCAATTTTCTGGTCCATGTAACAACCACATCCTTGAACTTGACCTGCCACATTTTGATCAATCTTTGTCTATTAATCCAGGCTAAATAATTAAATAATATCATTGATATTTGCTCATGCAGGCATTTGTACACATGTACACACACACACACACACACACACACACACACACACACACACACACACACAGAGTGATTTATTCTGCTAATAAGTATCATAAGCGGAAGATGCTTGAAAAGTATGATTCATACTTGATAATTCTGTGTCATAAAATTAAGAAATAAGGCAAATTTTGGACTCTGAAAATAAAAACTGTTAAGGCTGAATGTTTTGATAAAAAACACAGTGCCTAGTTACTTAAAGATGATGCGTTTTATTATGAGAACTTCAGCTTTGCTGTGTGTGAAGTGTGTGTTTCATTTTGTTTGTTTGTTTTCTTTGGTTTTGCTTTGCTTTTTGGTAGACTGAGGGTGAGTGGGAACTTCAGCACTTAGATAAGCAATAATAGTCTAGAAAGATTTGCCCACTGTTTTATGGGTAGGTTACCCTTCATCCCTTTATAATATCAAATAAGAGAATAGAGCTAGAGTGCTACCTACAGTCCTATTCTTTTCTTTAGGATAAAAAAAATATGACTCTTGTCAGGTAAGCTTCTTGGCAAATAGTAAGTTTAATTCCTAACACCCACATGAGGCACGAGAATAGTTGGATTAACAACTCCAGTGTCATGCTGTCAGCTGCTGTTTATTTAAATTAAAATGTCACCATCCAGAAATAAATTAGGAAGTTGAAAAATGATAAATTTCTTAAACATACAGTACTTCATCACCTGGTTAAAATAAATCTATTACATTTGTGGCTTAGTAATACTTTACATAGGCTAGTTCCATTTTGACATTCAGAGTATAGTGATTTCTGTAGATTTTGTTCTTTAATTATACCCTCTCCCCACCCTCCTTCCCTCCCTCTCTCCCTCCCTCTCTCCCTCCCTCCCTCCCTCCCTTCCTCTCTTCTTTCCTCCCTCCCTCATTCCCTCTTTTCTTTCCTGCTTTTCTGCCTTTTCATCTTTTGTATCTTTCTGTTTATGTTACCTCACACTTTTATTTGCTGCCCTTTATCTTTCTGTCTTCATTATCTCTCTCTGTCTATGCAAAATGCGTTCCATCATTACAACTATATATGCCTTATGAGCATTTCTAAAAATCGATATCTATCTTATGTTTACCTAAAATTACACATATGTGTACAGATTTAAAAATCATTACCTAAAGCTTCCTATAAATTACTGGTTTTCTGGGGTTAACATTTAAGAGTTATTCTATTAAATATAAAACAAAAATGCATGCCTCTCATGAGCTATTTACTAGATTCTTGTCATTTGAAGATCGATTCAAGCTCTTGCACAGTAAGATAATCCCCAGACATGACCCATATCTGATGAATTTTAAGACAATGATTTGGCTTTGGGTTCATAGAAGAGCAGATCATTCCACTTTTATGAGCCAATTTGGTCATAAGTAGTAAGAGAATTAATATCTGAGAAAGACAAATATCCCCTTCTGTTCCCATTTGGATGAGTTTCATGCCTGTGACTTTGTAGATCAAATCAATGCAAATGCACTTGATGATGCAGGTTAATTAAATACGAGACAGTTGTATACAAACATATTCAGCATTAACAACATGGAGATATTTACTTGGCCGGGTTTTCCATTTTCACATAAAAATGCCTCATATTCGGCTGCGAATTCAGGGGCGTTGTCATTGACATCCAGCACTTTAATAGCAACGGGCACTCGGGATATCTGGCTGTGGTTTCCTATGGGAAGGAAAAAACAGCATCAGCATTCAGGGTGTTTCCTTTGAACTTGTAACTCAACTTCCCTCTCTCTATTTCCACCTCCCTTCACTAGGATGTTTTCCATGTAATGATTATAGAATCTGACCTAAAAGTGTTGAGGAAGAACAGCAAGTGCTTCACTACTTTAAAAATAAAAAAGAAGCCACAAATTAATATTCTAAACATCATTTTCTAGAGCTTGCCCCACAAAGGACCATATGTAAATAAGCTAAGAGAGATTGTGTTTATGAAGTTTATTGATACAAGCCATTATATAAAGGAAAATCAATGTATCCAACAAAGATTTATCTGTTCACTGAGGGGAGAAAAGTGCCCATTCTTAGTTCTTACTCATTTTCTAAGCATGTATCTATTAAGATTAAGCATAAGAAGCCAGCAAAAGTGCAGAATTAAATCACATGTTGAAAAGTTCTCAACAGTCATGAAAAAGATAAAATTTGAGATAAACAATCAAGTATTTTGTAAACTTTGTGTTTCATTAAAAATCAATCTTAGCATATTTTTGGATAAGGCAAGAAGACTGGGTTATTATAGTAGTGACATTTTCAGAAATACTTTTACATAAATAAGATTATAGTCTTTTAATGTTTCTTGATCAATTCCTATAGTAAAGAACCTAATATATAACCTATAGTCCTTAGGCTTCTAAACTAAATATAAAGTATATGTATATATGTATCTGAACAAACACACACACGCGCGCACACACACACACACACACACACACACACACACACACACACACAAAATCTAGTTGCTTCTTAATTGTATGACTGGGTTAGGTAATGACTTTTTGTGTGAGTAATAAATGCAATGCAATTTGACTCTGAATGTACCATGTTATAATCTTTGATCTGTTGTAAATTATACAGAATGTAATGGAGAGAGCCAATTATTTATTTGTGTCACTATGACACTGAATATTTATAAGTAAACAATGAGAAAAGCATGTTTGGTTTTCAATATGAACAAATAGGCTTACATTTAATATCAAACTTCTCTTTTTGACAATTGATTAACAAAAAAGTCTCTAAAACCTTCAAATATTCATTATTATTTTTATTTATAAAAGTGACTTCTAAAGCACACACAAAATAATTACAACCATGCTACAAATTTTCTATTGCTTCCTAGCTAACCCTTAAAATTTGGATTCAACTAATTATGGAAGCATTACCTAACATTCAAAATTGATTTGATGATGGGTATCTGACATTGACCCCATGGAATTACTCTCATGAAAGTAATGGGATGCAACTTCCTGCAAATCAAGAAAATGACATCAAATACCTTCTAAGTTTCACCTTTTTCACTTTGCCATTTATTATCTAATGAATTAATCCCTTCTCCTCCTATAGAGGAAGCTTGTGGCTCTCTAGTTTTAATGAAATGCAAATTCTAAAAACAGTATAACACATGTCTCTAAGACAAGAAACTGACATTTCAAATTTTGTCTAGTCAACAAAACTCTGCAAAGGTTACACTTGAAATTCAAAATGATTGTGTTCTTAAAGGCTTACATCGCTTTCCACCCTGACCATGAGTTGGTGCAATGTAAAAAGAATGGTGTTTGCAGCAAACAAAGCTTCAAGCCCTAACTTTGCCTCCTTCACAGCTGTTTTGAGTCATTTTTTCTCCCAGGGAAATTGAAACTCCAGAGTTTAACATTTTATTGATGAAATTATTGTAAGTTGTATAGTGGAAGAAATAAAGGTTATCTCATAAGTAGCTGCCATGTTTTTAGGTACATTCTAGCCTGTGCATTTTGTAATTTTCAGTACTATCATTACTGTATATATTTGATTATTTAGAGAAAATATTTTACACGGTCATAACATTAAAACTTATTCAGTTTTGGTCTTTCAACATGAAGCAATTTTATTTCAAACTTTGGGGGCCATATATTATTTTCAGGTACTTAATCACTACCAAGTCCTCAAATGTTTACACACTTGTTTTATTTATCTTGAGTTTGAGCAATGTTTGGAGATTGAATCCAGATATCACACTAAATCTATCTAATGAATTCCATAACCACTTGTAGCTAGAGTTTTCCTGCCTGGCCCACAGTCAGGACAAATCTCTGTCACCCACCAGTCCCACAGCCGCTCAGACCCAACCAAGTAAACACAGAGACTTATATTGCTTACAAACTGTATGGCCATGCCAGACTTCTTGCTAACTGTTCTTCTATCTTAAATTAATCCATTTCTATAAATCTATACCTAGGCATGTGGTTCATGGCTTACCGGCATCTTCACATGCTGCTTGTCATAGCAGCTGCTGGCAGTGTCTCCCTCCACCTTTCTGTTCTCTCAATTCTCCTCCCTGTTAGTCCCGCCTATACTTCCTGTCTGGCTACTGGCCAATCAGCATTTTATTTATTGACCAATCAACAACACATTTGACAAACAGACCACCCCACAGCAACCACTAATATTTTCAAAATTGCACTTGTAATCTCCAACCCTCCCTGAGTAGTTGTACAGATTAACCTCATTATTTTTTTTTAATTTTGTGCATTTTAACAGCAAATCACTGTTAGTTGTTCATTTATTTTTATAAGACTAAATCATTTTATTTCCTAACACAATTCTTTTGGATATAAATAATTGCGGGGAATCTCTATTTAATATTTTTGCATTCAATCTAATGATAGCATTACTAAGTGATCTTCAAAGAGTAAAAAAATTGCTTGTATCAAACAGTCATTAGCAAGTCTGTCACTGTAGAGCATAGAAAGTACCGGAAAAATCTACTCTTTAAACAGTGTCTAGATCATTTGCAGTGAGCAGCATGGTAAGACATTGAGCTAGGCTCATTGACAATGTTTGATAAGTCAAAATCTATCACTATGGTAGTTGGTAGTTCCTGTTTGCCCTTTGATGTTGCATGCACACATTTTATATGCAAATACATATATAGAGACTTCTTAGTACTTAAAAATGATAATTTAATGCAAGGTCTACATTTTCAATCTCCTCTCTCTCTCTCTCTCTCTCTCTCTCTCTCTCTATCTCTCTCTCTATCTCTATCTCTGTGTGTGTGTGTATGATAGGAACAAAGATCTTGCACAACTGGGCTAGGAGCTCTAGTATTAAGCTGCATCAGGATTTTTCTCTTTATTTAGTATTTTTCCTTAAAAAATAAAGGAAAAGATAAACTGTTTCTACTGCATTGAAAAGTGACATTAATGCAGTAGACACAGATGGCTGCCTCAACTATCTTGTAGAAAACAATAGCATTTCAGTGTAACGAAATACAGTTTCAACTACTGATGCCAACATCCTTTTTTCTTTAATGAATCATTTTTCCTTCTAAGAATGAGTTCAAGCCACCCCTCTTCTAAAGAGATCGAGGTGTTATTCCATTGAAGCAATGTCAATGGCTTGAAGCAAGGAGACATTCTTTCGTATGGCAGGGATATGGAGCTTAAGGTAAGGATCTGATTTTTGTGATGAATTTGCTGTTGTCTTTTTGTTTCCTTATTTACTACATACTCTTGTTAAGATAATTTTGCAGAGTTCATACAGTCTGAATAGCTTTTGACCCATGCCTGCACCTGTATTTTAATAAAAATATCCTCTTTCTCTTATGTCATAATTTCTCTATCAGCCCATAGGAAACATTACCTTCTGTAGAAAATGTTTTGAAGTCTATGGTAACCATTATTGTCACCATATCATCTTGTGTCTTCCTACTGAACTCACAAGATGTGATAAACTATGTCAACTCCTCAACTTCTCTAATGGTACTGGAATATGAACACTTATGATTAGATTTAAGGCATAGAGAAGTAATTTAGAATGATCTCATACTATATTCTAAAGTCATAACAACTGGAAAGAACTTTATTCCTGATGTAATAGTGGCAGGATCTTAGGCTGGGGCCTAACCTTTTCTTTTAAGTCACCATTTGATCCAATAATTTTTCTCTTCCTGAAAGCTAGAATATTTGGAATGACTTAGAGTGATATTAATAAATATACTCCATTTCTATCATAGAAAGCAGTGAATTGAAATTAATTTAATTGTATGTACTTTGAATTCATTCTTCAAAATTTGAAAAATTATTCCTTTAAGACATTTAAAAAATACTGTAGTCCTTTTATGATAATTTTGTTAATATAGTTGAATATTCATTTATTTATTCTTCATTGCTCTGTTTATTTCTTCGATATAGTGTATTTCCACATACTGAGGCAAGTCACTGACAATCAAAAGGTTCAAAGTATGACGGTTTATTTACAATTTTCTAAGTCCTACAAAGTATTTACTTAGGGATGAACCTTTTAATTTTTTTAAATAATCATCTACTATTAGTCTTGTTTTAAAAAATGTAGGTTTTCTTTCTTGTTTAGAGTATGAAGGATATGAAAAAAAGCCCAGAGTTCATTCTGTTATGCCCCGATTTATAGTAGGACCTAAGAATAGGTAAGCTGATGACAAATGAGGAAGTTTTATATATAATCTATTATATATGGAATGTTTTCTATATTATAATTTATTATTTAAAAATATTTATAAAACAGCCTCAAATCTAAAAAAGTAAATACAATCAACAACCAAGTTATGATAAATATCCCTCAAATATTACCTTTATACCTTCTAGATAATTGCACATGATTTAAATTACAACTGAGGATTTTCAGCACAAATTTCACACTTAAGTACTAAAGACTCACTTTTATCTAAATTAATGAATTGATAAGATCTCAAATTTTAAAGATATTATAGAGTAATAAAATTAATTAGATATGCTTCTGAGGAAATTATTCATGTCCTTTGTGACTGGCCCCAAAAATGTTTGCCTTTCATCTAATACATAAACATTAAATATAAAGATATTATAATTAGAAACTTGATTAACATTCATTAAAGATTCATTTTCTAAACACAAGAGATGGGACAAAAAGGTCTGGAAGGGAAAGACCATCTCCAGTGGCCATGAAAATCAG